ACCGCCCCCAGATCACTGCCCTTTGCCCTGTAGGACCATCCAGCCAGCACATGACCTACCCCAAATATGTGCTCTGAGAACGAAACACGGTCCCATGTGAAAGAGCTCTATAACGTCAAGGCACAGATATTCTTATTCCTTCTGGTCTGGGTATCATGTCACCCCTCCCAAGCCATTCTGTCCCTCTCAACCTCTCAGTTTCTCTCTTCTCCCCACCCCCACCCCCACACACACACTGCCCCGCCAGTTTCACAGGAACACAAGCCCTTGAGCCACACTGTAGACCAGAGACTCATGCTGGAGCCAGTACAGAGAAGGAGTTGTTCCCTCCAGAGTAACTGACACGTGATAGTGGCCCACAGTGTCACTGGCATTGGAGGAACAGCGTACTTCAGCGCCTGGCACTGCAGCGCCCCCAGTGGGAGAAAACGCTTAGAATAATAGTAACCCTGGAGCACAGAGGCTGGTGCTTAGTAAAGAGTTTCTGTGATTCTTCCTGGAGGCGGGGGCATGAGTCATACTTAGAGGCTTCTAGCTCTGTGAGGCTGAAGGGCCAGGGACTTTCTAAGGCAAGGCTGTTTGGGAAGAATACTGGGACCTGAGTCCTGGAAGGGTGAGGACCCACAAGGACATCTCCCCATGTGGTCAGCTGCTCTCATGGTCACTGAGCGAAGTACCTGGGACCTACTCAGCCTTCCCGAGCACGCAGGTGCCGTCTCTTCCTGCCCACTCTCCTTCTGCCTCCCAAGAGGGACATCAGGCCACCTTTCCATATAGCAGGGGATGATGCCGCAGTCAGTGGGATGTAAGATAGTGCTGCTATTTTGGACCCAACTAAACAAAACATAAAAACCGTAACACAGCTTCAGTGTCTTTAATGAGGTCTCTCTTATAATTCTAAATGCTGATGCATGAAATATATGTCAAGATTTGGGTTAAAGGGGCCAGCAGGAGAGAACTTTAGGCCCTTAAGGAAAAAGAAATTCTTAGCGGCTCCATTCAGGTCGCATGCTGGAAATCTATTTGATGTGAACCTCAACAATCCAGTGCTGTTTTATAATCTAGGACATGAATGCATTAGCACTTGGACTTGGGCTTGAATTGCAAATTTGATTTTTGCTGTTCACATTTTCAAAGGTTCACCAGATGCCTGGAAACATTAAGGTTTTGTGGGCTAGTGAACAGAAATACTGTCATTCCACCTCTTTGTGTCGTGGAGATCCGGAAAGTAGTCTCTCAGTTGCAGTTGTGACTATTAGTATCACTGAATTTTAAAAATAGTACCATATTTTGCCATGTAGAATGCACACCCACGTTTTTGTGCACATTGTACACGGGATTATTATACCCACAGTATGTAATCATTATCACCATGTATAATGCACATCCTTATTTTTCCCTCAAAAATTTGGGCAAAGAAGCATGCCTTATACACAGCAAAATACGGTCATAGCTAAGGCTTAACGGGTGCTCACTGGATGCCAGGCGCAAAACTGGTTTCCATGCTGTTTAGCTCAGAGTAGCTCTAAGAGCTAGATATTACCAGCCCATCTTGCAGATAAGATAACCAAGGCTTAGAAGAGGTTATGTAAGTTTTCCAGGATTCATTCCTTCAACGTGTTCTTTATCAAGTATCTACTGTAAGCTGCTGGGGACCTGATAGCAAGCAAAACAGAGAAACCCCTGCTTTCATGTAACTCACCACCTAATGGTGGGCATCACAGCCAACATTTATGAAGTACCAGGCAACATGCATGTGCTTTCCCTCCTAAGTGGGGGTCCGGGATTGGAACCCAGGTGCTCTGGCTCCAGGGCCAGAGCTCCTGTTTCCGTATTACTGCCTCACCCAGCCAGGTCCGCTCTGCTGGTAGGACCTGCCTGTCTCCGTGGTCATGGCCACCCCTGTCTTGCAAAACAAATAGCATTTGTCTTTGTTTCCTCCAACCTGCCCATTTGGGGGCCTTACAACGGATTCGTGGACCTGAACTTTCTAGAATAAAGTCAAGTTCATTTCGATAACAAGTGCTTGTTTTTTTTCAGGCTAGCCTGGCCTGAGGAGGTGCCGGGGGCCCCAAGCCTTGTTTCCATTAAGCCCTGAAGCCGTGGTATTTGAACTTGCCCCTGTGTGGGGGAGCTACATTCAAATATCCGCCATGCTTATGATCAGAACCACAGTCCCTAGTTTGTTCAATAAATAATGCAGTTTTGTAACAGTGCCTACCTAAGATGAGGGCTTGAACCAGTATCTCCTTTGAAGTTAAATTCCAGTGTGTCCCACTTCGAGCTTTGTTTTTAGTTCTGAGCTTCTACCAAGTGACTGCAGACAGGTTTTGGGGTTGTGACTTAAAACATAAGTTTTAGGAACAAGGGCTAGACTAGGGTTTTACCCAAGGACCTTTTCCATTTACTTTACCATGGATTTCTCTAGCTATGAGAGAATGGTGATAAAGTGGCACTTCTTAGAATCCCCACATCATCTCCAGGTGGGTTTTGCTTTACATGGGGCTCCTCTTGAGCCTGGGCAGATTTGTGTGAGGGCCAAGTACAGGGTCAGCGGAAAGCCTGCCCATCCACCCCTCCCCAGGTATCTGCCCTTGCCCTCAGCCCTGTGAGGCCGCTAAAGCCCCCTACTTGTCCAATCTAGCCTTCCTTTTGTCATGCCGTGAGCGTTTTCCCTGCATTTAGCTTCTGCCAAATTCTTCCACCAGAAGCCCCACACACTGGCCTTTTCTGGCAGAAAGGACAGGAGCAGACAGATGAATTATGTTAATGGTTTATAAATTCACAGAGTTAACAAGACTTTTCCTGACTTGTTTTTTTTTAATTTTTTTAATTTTTAGAGAGGGAAGGGAGGGAGAAAGAAATGGAGAGAAACTTCGATGTGCAAGATAAACATCAATCAGTTGCCTCATATATACCAGACCTGGGGACCAAACCCACAACCTAGGCATGTGCCCCAAACCCGAGACTTTTCGGTTTATGGGACAATGCTCCAACTAACTGAGCTACATGAGCCAGGGCTTACCTTGACTTCTTAAATGAGTCCTCTGAAGTGGGCACAACACACTCCAGAGTAAGAGAGCCCATTCCTGGAAAGGTAGAATCTCAGGCATTCCTATGGTCAATTGGGCTGCCTCCTGCTCTGATTTCAGCTCACCTCTTTCAGCCCCTATGAATTACACTGTGGCATCATTCATTCAATTTGCCATTATTTATTAACCACTGCCCTGAGCTTGAGTACTAGGTGCAACCCCACAATACACAGTAAGCAAGTCAGCTGTAGTCCCTACCTTCCTGGAGCTCACTAAATAGACACTTAAGTAATGGCCCCCAAGTATGGCAGAAGCTATCATGGGAAAGCAGAGATTGCTCAGGAAAACTCAGCCAACCCAGCATATCCAACCCAGTAGAGGTGATTCAAAGGAGAGTGTGCAGAAGAGATCTAAGACAAGATTTCCTAGAGTAAGTGAAATCTAAGGTACAGCCTGAAAGATGAGTAGCTATTGACCTGGGGAAGGGAAGATGGAGGGGAAGGACTGTGTTCTAAGAAAAGAAAACATGTCCAGAGTCCTGGAGGCAGAAAAAAGCTTAGCATGTTTGAGAGGCTGAAGTTTCAGGAGAACTGATAGAACATGTTTGGCAGAAGTTGGGGAGGTGATGCTAAGCCAAGAAGCAAGAAGATGAGCCTGGGGTGATGACTAAGAGCCAGGTGAAATAGGCTCCATTTGGATTTTAATCTAAACACAATGGAAAGCATTACAGGGTTATGAGCGGGAAGGGCAATATATAGTTTTTTTTTTAAAGAGGTGGCAATATAATGAATAGGTTGATAGAAAGCAAAATAATGAATAAAAGAAGGGATGAAAGAGTAAATGGATGGATGAATGGAAGCAAGATAAGAAGAGATCAGTTAGGAGACTTGCAACAATCTAGCCAGAGATAATGGTATCCTGCCTCGGATAATCGCAGTGAGGTTGGAGATGAGTAGGCATGTTACAGTGATCGTTTGGAATCAGAATCTGTAGGGCATGGTGATTGATGATGTGAGACGGTTCAAGAAGAACACTCAGGTTTCTGATTTGGGTAACGGGGTAGTACTTAGATAGGGACATCGGTAAGGATCTTGTTTGAGTGATGAAAGACAGCTCGGCATTGACATAGGTTGAGTTTTAGATGCCCGTGAAACATCCAGTAGGAGAGCATCAGAGTCAGTGGAGCCCAGCAGAGAGGGTGGGGCTGGGGACGTTGTTATGAGGTCATCAGCCTGTTGTAATGGAGGAAACCATCTAGGCTAGGGTGGAGAGTGGGCAAGGAGAAAAGCTTAAGGCCAAACAATGAAGAATTCCATCCTTTAAGAGAAAGAAAGAGGAGTACATAAGAGGCTGAGAGAGCAGATGGAGAGAAAGGAGACAATCCAGGAAGTCCCGAGTTCCGGGGCACCGCTGGAGGCACGTCCTAGAGCAGAGTGGGCGGCTGCATCCCAGGGTGCTGGGAGGGCAAGTGAAAGAGGCCTCAGAGGGAGGTTTGGGGAACGCTAACAGTGAATCTTCATGTCTGCGCCATTTCATAAACGTGTTAAATTTTCTATTCTTAGCGTATTTTTGTTCTTTATAACACTGTTGATTTAATTCCTTAATGTTCTCAATTAAGATGTGACAAGAATTTAAGATAAGCGTTACCATCTTCCTCAAGTATGGTGCATGTTGGTCCAAGTCTCACATTTAGCATTCATTTGAAAAAAACTAATAGATCATTCTTCCCCACCCTCCAATCTGTAGGTTGTTTTCTGTCTCTTAGCCTTGTGAACTCTTCTTTTGGATAAAACTTTTCCCCATAGAATTTCAAATGAAGCCTGGCCAATTTTGAAATTAGAATTGTAACCTCTTTACTAGGTGTTATCAACCACTTAAAAGTCAGTTGATAGCAATCCATTTCACCACACTTAAAGAGTAAACCATGAGCTAGAGATTTAGGCATTCTTTTTGTTATTTCTTTTCCAGCTGCAGGAGACTGTGAAGAGGAAGTTGGAAGGCGCCCGATCACCACTTAATGGAGACCAGCAGAATGGGGCTTGTGATGGGAGTTTTTCTCCAACCAGCAAGCGAATACGAAAGGACATTCCCACAGGGATGGAAGCCATCAACAGTTTGCCCAACAACATGCCACTGCCTTCAGCTTCTCCTCTTCACCAACTTGACCTGAAGCCTTCTCTGCCCTTGCAGAATAGTGGAACTCACACCCCTGGGCTTCTAGAAGACCTAAGTAAGAATGGCAGGCTCCCAGAGATTAAACTTCAACCTGTCAACGGTTGCAGTGATCTGGAAGACAGCTTCGCCATCTTGCAGAGCAAGGACCTCAAACAAGAACCTCTAGATGACCCTTCTTGCATAGACACATCAGAAACATCTCTTTCAAATCAGAACAAGCTGTTCTCAGACATTAACCTGAATGATCAGGAGTGGCAAGAATTAATCGATGAACTGGCCAACACGGTTCCTGAAGACGACATACAGGACCTGTTCAACGAAGACTTTGAGGAGAAGAAGGAGCCAGAATTCTCGCAGCCAGCCACCGAGACCCCCCTCTCCCAGGAGAGCGTGAGTGTGAAGAGCGACCCTTCTCACTCTCCTTTTACACATGTCTCCATGGGCTCTCCCCAGACAAGGCCTTCTTCTTCTGGCCCTCCCTTTTCTACCGTCTCCTCAGCCACCAGTTTACCTTCCGTTGCCAGCACTCCCGTGGCTCCCAACCCCGCCGGCTCACCAGCGAACTGTGCGGTCCAGTCCCCGCCAACTCCAAGCCCAGCCCACACTCCCGGCCAAGCTCCGCCTCGGCCTGGAAGTGGCTATCTCCTCAGTGCGGCAGCGGGGCCAGTGGCTGGTTCGGGTTCGGGCCCCGTAGCTGTGCCCAGCTCCGACCTGTCCCCAGCGGAGCAGCTCAAACAGATGGCAGCACAGCAGCAGCAGCGGGCCAAGCTCATGCAGAAGCAGCAGCAGCAGCAGCAGCAGCAGCACGCCAACCAGACTGCCAGCTGGTCCCCATTAGGGCCTCCGTCCAGTCCCTACGGTGCGGCTTTCCCCACAGAGAAACCAAATAGCCCCATGATGTACCCCCAAGCCTTTAACAACCAAAACCCAGTAGTGCCTCCAATGGCAAACAACCTGCAGAAGACGACAATGAATAACTACCTCCCGCAGAATCACATGAACATGATCAATCAGCAGCCAAATAACTTGGGTACAAACTCCTTAAACAAACAGCACAACATTCTCACTTACGGCAACACTAAGCCTCTGACCCATTTCAATGCGGACTTGAGTCAGAGGATGACACCACCTATGGCCAATCCCAACAAAAACCCCCTGATGCCATACATCCAGCAGCAGCCCCCGCCGCAGCCGCCACCGCAGCAGCCGCCGCAGCTCCAGGCTCCCAGGGCACACCTGAGTGAGGACCAGAAACGCATGCTTCTCATGAAGCAGAAAGGAGTGATGAACCAGCCACTGGCCTACGCCGCGCTGCCCTCCCACGCTCAGGTAAGTGTGAGAGCGAAACCCGCTTGGAGCCGTGCTGGTGGCGTGTTTCAGACTGGCGAGGTGTGATCCGTTAGCACTAGCCAGGTATAGCTAATTACCGGTGGAGAGCCTTCCTACGTATTGTCATGTCGTTGCCAGGTTTGGGGGGTTTACTTCCTCTTTTTTTCTAAGAGATGAAAAAGGTTGGCATGATTGTCTTTCTGGTGGTGGAATGCCTGGGAGTCAAACTTGTTCTATTCCCGGCAGTTGATGAGAAATGAAAAATTACATGATGTTCCCCCTCAGAGAGAAGCTCCGCGATAGAGGTCACAGGGTCACACCCGCCGCTCTCACCCCCCTGGTCATTCGGTCCTAGACATGGGCTTGTGAGAAGGCCAGAGCCTTTTGGGGTCTCTCCAGCAGTCTGATAAGGCCCTGAACAACTTCCACCTAGCTTACGGAATTGTGAAGCACGGAAATTTAGGCTCTTGATATTCAAATGTGGGAGAGTTTTCTGTATTTTCAAAGCGAACTGGAGGGCAGATTTTTGTAGGACCATCCAACACTGAGACCTTTGTTGCTGACCTAAGGCAGTTAGAAGTTGTTTCAACCTCCTGGCTTGGGAGTCTAGTCAAACCTCTGCAATTTATTCGGCTCTGATGCAGGAAAATTTGATGGTGACTGTACCTTAGTGCTATATTAAAATGGTCTCCCCTTTCCCATGTCAAGATATTGTGGTTTGGACAGTGGGGCTCCCAGTGATCCACGGTAAAAACGAGTGGCAGCCAGTCCGGGAGTGAATTCTCACTGCTAAGCATTCACTCGCCTCGCCCTGACCACTGTGGCAAGCAGCCAAAGCTCCTGCAGCGTGACACTTTCTCTGCCTTGAAGGAGAGGGGAGTGGGGAAATGTTCCACTGACCTTCTCTCCACACAGGAGTGAATTCATGAGCCATCGCTATACTGCCTATTGCTAGTCTATGCCCTAGTCTTCTCAGGACGCCAACATTTGCATTACAGTTGGAGATTTCGCAGAAAAGTCTTCGCTTTAGGGGCCCTCGTGTGCGAACAGGTTACAACTAGTGCTTGGATATGTGTCCACAGTTGGGTGCATCAGAAGTAATGTGGGCAGATCTTGCATCAGTAGGCAGTTGTTTGTGTCATCTCTCTCCTGGCATGCCCCTCCCCCCCATAGCCACCCAATCGCCTTGAACTTGATGGAAGCTACAAGAGCTGGAGGGGGTGCTGGCCTGCAGAGGCAGGCCTGAGCTCTGGTCCTTCACAGCCTTCCAACCCTGAAACCTCACAGTGGTTTCTTGTCTGCACATGCCGGCCAGCTCTAAAGAAATTCTGTCTGGAGAAATAAAAATATAACTCAGTTTATGTCAACTGCTATCGGTCACTGGTAGAAAAACATCATTGAAATGTGGGCTTCTGTTTTATCTTGGTTTCATTAAAAAAAAATGTATACCATTGGCAAAATGCAACATTTTATACACTTCCATATTAAGTTCTGAAGCAGGCAAAAACGTAGGCGATACACAGGGATGTTTGTTGTAGCCCAGACGCGTCCCAGGTTTATGAGATCACAAGCTGTCAGAAGGGTCTCTTGTTAATCTTAATACAAATTGTGCTTCTCCATTGGTTGTTTCCACGCCAGCTTCAGTAAAATATTTCCTCTGAGCCAGACCAAGGATGATTAATTCCAACTCACAGGCTCTGCAGACATGCGGGTGCAGTGGGAGCCCATCCGCACTCCGCACCCTCCCTCAATGTTTTTTGAAATTTGCTAACTTGGGATGAGATTCTTGTCTTTGCTGGAACATGAATTTTAAAGGTGCTCATTGCAGGTCCTGATGCTTGCTTAGCTATGCGAAACTGAAGCCTTGAGCTGCAGCAGTCATGTTTTGAAAGAGCTCAGTCAGGTGAAGAAATGAAAGTGATGGTTTTCTGGCCTAAATCTGTGGGTTCATCCTCTGTTCCTTCCATCTCACGAGGTCCTTTCAGGGTGGACAAACCTTCCTTCTCTTGAGTGAGGCCTCATTAGCGTAATCACTTCGTAACCCCATAAAGAACCATCAAGCAAAAGCATGCTTTTTCATGAAATATTAACTCACCACTGTTTGAAACAAGCTTCAAAATACATATATAAACACGTGAATATCTTTCTGCAAACATACCATTTATTTCATGCTTTTATCTGATTGTGGAGCAGTATTTACATAGCTCTCAGAATAGTTAATTGCACTGTATGTGAGTACATTGCACAAATACATGCACGAATTACAGGCAAGACATAAAATGTAATTATACATAGGTGTCGTTCAAATTTGTTTTTTGCTCTTGCTCGTGAAAATTCACTTCATTCTTTTTTGGCCACAAGGACCGTGATTAACACTTAGTTTTAATGAATGATTGATTTAAACACCAAAACTAATAACACTGGAACACCGATTTCAAGATAATTATTTTATACAGATGTTTACTTACTTGGGCCATTTGCAGAAAATGCCAATTCTCTCAGAAATGAATAGAAATTCACTCAGATCCTGGATATTTTTAAAAAGAAGGAACCAAAACAAGAAAGAAGCAAAAAGAACTTATTTCAGAATTTTGAATGTTTCATCAGGAAATTATACTTCTCAGAATTTATCTAGTATTCCTTATAATTAAAGAATTTAACAAAGATTTATGTACAAAGATTGTGTTCATGGTGTTATTTATAATAGTGAAAAACTGGAACCAAAATAAATACTTTGGAAAAATAATGTGCATGAAAATGATGATATTTAGTGATTAATCATGTGGAAATGCTCATAGGAAAAATGAAGTAAGCAGATCATACAACAGCTTGTATGTTACAATCCAGATTGTATTTTTGATACATATAGAAAAATACTGAATAACTAAAATATTAGGAATGGTATTTTTGGTTGGTGAATTATGAGTAATTATTGTTTTCCTCTCTATAGTTTACCAAGTTTTCTTTCATACCTGCATGTTAATTCCACCATCTGGAAAGGTGATTTTTAATAAAAAGGAACCCCCCTATTTTAAAAAAAGTTTATACTATATTAATCTTTAAAAGAAAATTCTTATTTTTCCAATTTACCAGTTGAATTGAGGTGATACCATTATTTGCCATTCACTCACATACAGTATTAGTTTTGAATCTTTTCCTTTCTTTCTCCACTTCCTCTTCTCACTCCTATCATCTGCTCTTAATTCCTATAAACTTCAGGAAATAGAATGACAAAGACTATCAGTGAAATTTCACCATTATAAACTTTCAAATCTTCTCTGGGTTATGTTCTCATATTATTTCTTTGATCACATCTCTTTTCCCTTTCCTAATTTTTTACTTCCTGGAACTTCTGTACATCTCGTATTGGACTTTCTGGGTTGCTCTCCAATTTTTAAAATATGTGTTTCTGTGATGAAATCACCAGAGCCCACTTTAGACATGTCTGTCTATTCTCTTTTCCTAATTTTGTTGTTTCTCAAGGATAAGCTCTCTCTTACTCTCTCTGTTTTTATTATTTTTTTTTGTACAGTACCTGACACCACATCTTAAACATAAGGATGTTTAATAAATCATTAAACATGGCGGTTATCAAAGTTCAGAGCAAAACTATGTTTGCGGGATTCTTAGCTCCACTGGAGAGAGCATTAGCACAAATAACACAGAGCTGCTTTTGAGATCAAACAGAACTGGAAAGGCAGGTCTAAAAGGAATCCTTTGATAGGAGGTGGTTATCTTGAACCAGTGGAACAACAACAAGATTGCGGAAAAGGCAAACGCCATCTCTGTGTCTGACAAACAGAATCACGACGGGGCAGCTCTGAAAGCAGTGCCAGGGTAGGTTGCAGGGGTACCCAGAGCCCGGGAACGACCTTTACATAAATAGTGGGCAGTGAATAATTTCCAAAGTGTGATGGTAATTTTTAGTCGTTGCAATTGTAGGAATGGCATAACCATGTTACTTTTATTAATACTTTACACGCTTTTTGCTGTCTGTGGCTGTGTATATCAGAATGAGTACATACATTCTCATGTTTTATAGGATGCTTTTCCCTTTTCATTTTATCTTACCAAAATTTGTTGAGTGCCATGTGAAGTGTATTATTATAAGCTTTTAGCCATAAAATCTCCACAGAAAAACAGAGCTCCAGTATTAACAGCCATCATGGAAATCTCTTTGAAGATACATTTTCCTTCAGTTTAAAAAATTGGGAGTCTCTTTGTTTAGTTTCCTTAAAATATACATATTTTTTATTTTCTCCAAATAAGAGATGACATAGCTCAAAAAGTCAAATAGTGTCACAAGGCTTATGACACGGAAGAACAGTTTCATCCCCTTCACTCTTTATTTCTGCTTCCCGAAGGTGACCACTTCAGTTCATTGAGGCATTTTCTTTTTCTTATTTCTAAAAACTGCTATTTCTCAATATTTCAATTATTTGACTCTATGGAAGATGAAGATTCAGCTCACTTATACTTTCTCTGCCCAAACAGCGCCCCCGCCCCGCCACACACACGCAATCCCTTTTTTCCCTTCCCCACACTCCCAGTATAGCCAATACTCCTAGAATTGTATAGCAAATGACAATTCTAAAGGAGTCCTTAGTTACATGACTGATTGACTGATTTCTGCATCGTGCCTCACATTTTAGCTGTGTGGCATACTAGGATATTTCCTTTCTTGCATGATGTTTTGTTTTTTTCTATAATTAATAATGGCCTCTTTTTAAAAAAAAAATTGGTGTTGTCTCTGCACCTACCGATCTGTCCTCAAACTTTTCTGACTGTAAAATTTTCAGTGGGAACAAACATCAGATAATCTATTCTTCTTATAGAAGAATAGATTTTCTTTTCTTTTCTTTTTTCCTCCCTCCCCCTTCCCTCCACCACCCCCCTCCACATACTTCTCTTTCTTTCTCAATCTTTTCCCCTCTCTCTGCCTCTCTCTTTCCCTCTCTCCTCTCCACCCCCTTCCTTCAGCCTCCCCGCTGAAGGCTCAC